GCCGGGCGGGGGAGGGAGCAGGCCGAGCGGCGAGCTGAGGCGGCCGAGGGGCTGGTCCAGGCGCGGCCGCTAAGAGGAGACCGAGAGGCGGGGGCTGCACTTGACAACCAGCATGCCGAGATGGTAAGAAGTTTCCACCTCCTCTCCGCTTGCGTCTGCACTTGGTAGGGACTGACCCGGGCGGGACGCCCCGGGGCCGCGGCGGGCCGCGTTCTCCTCTAGCGCCGCGGCGCGAGGAGGCGGGCAGCCGGCGGCGCTCCCCAAATCCACCCCCCCCTTCACCCCAACTTGGCCCCAAGTTAGCGAGGCGACTGCGAGAGCGGGAGGGAGAGCGGGGCGGTCTTAGGTGAGCGGCCGGCGGTCCCCGGCTCTGGGGACCGGGAGCCCTCGGGGGAGGGCGCGGGACGCGGGGACGCGGGATGCACCGAGCGAGCGGGACCCGCGACAACTTTCCCAACTTGGCCGGCGGCTGCAGAGCCCGAGCGGCGGCCGGGCGTGGGTGCCGGCCGGGGCGCGGCCCGCGTGGGGACCGCAGCGATGCCCGCGCCGCTGCGGAGGACACGGACGCCGCCGCCAGTCAAATCCCGCTAGACAGACACGTGTGTGCTTTCCCAAAGTGCGGTTCTGAAGCAGCCGGCCCGCTGCACGCACACCCCGACCGGACCGTGGGATTTGAGACGTGAAACGGGGGCAGGATTTTTTTTTTTTTTTAAATGTGTGTGGGGGACGTCAAGACAAAACTAGACGAAACCTCCCATGGGGTGAGGCAAAGATTTCAAAAAACTTGTAGGTGCAGATGGAGGAGGAGAAGGGATGGCGCAGCGCAGTGGGACTCCAGCACAGCCCCTCGAAGGAAGGGACGGCTTCTCTGCAGCGAGGAAGCAGGCAATTAGTTCACCGAGTGATGAGCCGCGATGTCCGTGATGTCCGCTTTCGGGGAAGACATTTGTTAGAAATGGGGCTTGACCACTCCTTTCCTTGAGTTCCCTACCACCCAGTGTCGCTGTTGTTACCCCCACTTGGGGGCTCTGATATGCCGTGGGCCCTATGTAGATGGGATGTATAAGAAACGGGGTGATAGCAGGTTGACATTTTTTTCCCCCTTCCCCCTGATGTGACATCTCTTGTTTCAGAGATCAAAGTCACAACTGGAATGTAGGAGAAGGTACTGTCAAATGCAGACATACACACATACAAAATGCACCCAGGACTGCGGTTACAGTAATGCTGACAGAAATTAAAGAGGTTTTGAAAGCAGCGTGCGATTTATGATGCTTCCCATTTACCCTAGAGTCAAGCTGTTGTAAAACTGATGTACAAAAGACATCATAAAATAATCCTGTGTACCCAGGATTAAAGTGGCAGAAAGTGGCCTGTTTTATTATTTTTTATGTACTTCGTGGACAGTTGGAGTTGTTGGAGCCTGTGTTTAAGTGAGGCATCAGAACAAGATGAGAAATATATCTATTTAGAGGTGGAGACTTTCTTGTAACGGCATTTTACACAAGAACATTATAAAAGCCAGTTGTACATCTTTTTCTTCCTCTGGCCAGGGTTACTATTTGTCTACAGATCTACTCCCCTTTCATAGTCACTTTGAGCAGTGGCTGAGTCCATTTGTCTTCCAGTGTTTTGTATTCTGCACTTTTAGATGTTTTGTGTACAGACATGGTGCCAGAAATAAATTCCACTTAGAGCATGCGAGTGTTTCTGCTCTGGAGATGTCCTCTAATACTGAGCCTTGGAGGAGTTAGATAGAACTTCCTTTTACCCTTTGGAATCAGGCACGTGAGAATCCCTTGTGAACCCTTAAAGGCTCTGTGTCTTAGATCATGTGTAGCCGTTTCATTTAAGCTTGTTCAGTCTTAATGAAGCTCTGTGTTGTAGGTACTCCTTCTGTTCCCAGAGAGCAGTGTATTTAAAATCCAGATTGCTGATCACTTTACCAAAGCACAGGAATACCTTCACCTGAGGGAAGGGCTAGTGAACCTGGGTCTGAACTTCCCATAGAGGACCTTTCCAGGCATGTCTGAAATGCACTCCCTTCCCCTAGTCCAGTGAGAATATTGTTGGGTTGTGTTGGCATGTAAAACTTTGGGTAAAAATGAACCTCATGGGATTTTTAAAATAAATATTGAGAGGATATTAATAGCAGCAGTGCGTTGCTAACACCTGGTTTTTGTTTTTTTTTTCCCTTCTTCTTCTACCTGAGATGTAAGTTATCTGTCAGGCAGGGATATGTGATTACCAAAAGGAGCAGACAAAAGCAGAGCTGACTGTTGCTGTATTAAAATGTAAGTGTTACAGTTTGAATTTTCAAGTGAGAGTTTTTGAGTTCAGTGCTTTACATAACATTTTGTCCTAATCTTGCTTGCTGTCAGGGATGTTTCATGGTTGTGCAATTGCTGCAGTCAAGAATGCCAATTTGCATTCCAGGAGTGTCATTTGATTACTTTTATCTGCGGAGCTCCAAGACCGGCCCAGACCTCTCGTTTCATCTTGCCATGTCACGAGTCAATGCTGTGTCGTCTTTTCAAAAATCTGCCTGATTTAGACAAGAAAGAAAAGTACTTTCATGTTGCAGCCGCAGTCCCCTGCTAACTTGTCAGCAGCAGGATATGATTCACTTGGGCCCAGAAGAATGGAACAGAGAGGCGGGTTAGGCGGTTCAATAAAGCCCACGGACAGGTAGTGTGTGACATCCCCAGAGAGCCGCAGTTAATGAAGAACAGGTCTGCTTAGTTCTCCACAAGCTGACCTGGTGCTGTCCCCACAGTTTTCTCATTTGATCTTCCCTAGCAAATTGATCTTTTCTTGTATTTTTTTGCCTTCCAAGTTAGTCCTTGAGGGACTGGAATTAGCAGAGCAACTTAAGTTGGATAATACAGCTGTTCAGAGAAGAAGAAATTGGACACTGGCACAGAAAGGGGGTGGGGGGAGAGGAGAGGGGCTGCTCTTTTTGTTGTTCCTGGGAATATTTCCTGTGTTAAGGGAGTCCAAGGAGGTGATGACTTGAAGCTAGCGGTTTCCCTTCCTTTAAATTTAGAGTTAAGCTTCGGTGCCATTTTAAATATTCCACAAATGTTTGGAAGATGGCTGTAGCAAGCATGAAGGGTTTGATTTAGCAATGTTCATATTCACTTGTTTGGAGTGATCTGCCAGAGGAATAGTGGCTTTTATGGCTATTGTAAGATGAACTAAACATCAATGGCATATTCCAACTATATTATTTATAGTCTTCTAAATAACTACAACCTCCAAATATTCAATACTGAATTGCTGAAAAGATTAAACAATAAAAAAGTCATTACCAGCATTGTATATAAATATTATGGTGCATGAAGATTTTTTTCTATGAATTACCATCAGTATCTTTGTTTTATATAAATTCCACAGATGCACTGTTAATAAAGTAGGTTATTCTGTCCTCCAAGATTTTTTAAAATTTAAAGGTAGACTTTTAAATTCGAGGCTCAGATTACAAGTTGAATTTCTTTGAAGTGTTCACATGCTGTTTTTTGAGATTAAAATTCATTTTATGCAAGGGGAGTAAATGTAAATTCAGAAGGCAGGCGTAGATAGTTCAGCCAGGTTAGTTTCACTATAGAGTGTTGTACATAAAGCTTAGGTTGGGAGCAATTAATAGTCTGAGTGAATATATAAAGGAGTGGTGCTTTCTGAATTCCTCTGCAGATGGTCTCATTTAACATCTGCATCCTGACAAGAAACAGAGTTGAAAACAGCAGTTCTCCTGCAACATCTCTTGTTGGTCAGGAGTTACATAGTATAGTTGGTCAGCTCTCCAAAGAGCTGGAGGGAGCTTCATGGTTTTATTAGATAGACTTAAGGTTTTAAAAAAGGACTCTGGCAGTTAGAATGTTTCACAGCACAGGCGTAGAGTTTTGGATTGGAGGTGAGATACACACACACACACACACACACACACACACACACACACACACGCACACAGATCATAGCAGCAGATTCTCCTTTGCGAATAGTTAAGGGATCAGCTGAGCTTTCTAGGACTTTACCTTTGAGGTGATTAGAATTAGGAAAAATTCAACCAAACATCTTAAGCGTTTTAGTTTGCCTAACTGCTGTGTCACTGTGTGCACTGAAGGAGTTAGTCTCATGTTGCCAGGCCCACCTTCAAACTTTCTATTAAAACCTACCCTGTCACTGAGGCGCTTACGACCTTACTTCAGTTCACAGAAGAAAGGTACTTAACTCCATAGGTGATGTTTTGAAGTAGTTCTGCATACAACTACATATTTTGGAGAGAAAATTTCCTTCAAAAGAAGGGCTTCAAGTTGTAAACATGAAAGCAGATCATTGGTAAATTTGATATATTATTAATCAATAAATAAGCTACATTTTAAATGGCAGGACTTGAATGTTTTCATATTTACTATTTGGCATTTAATTTCACATTTGTTTATCAGTCCTACCAGTTAAATTTGTGATATGCTTATATTAAATAAGCAGTGATCATGATTGCTTTTCATTATTTATATACTAGTTTTTTAGGGACCTGACTTTGGACATTTATTTACCATGTAAGTAAATCTGAATCTTATATCCAGGAAGATAGACTGCTCAGATTAGTCTCCTTGCACAGAAGCTCTCATTATGTTGCTAGCCAATAAAAGTCTTTATTTGTTGCTTATTAGAACCCTCAGTCCACTCAAAAGTTCAGCTATAATTTAATTTGGCTGTTCAAAGAGCCTCCCTTGTCTTAAAACACGTTCTCGGTTTCCTTTACCATTTGTTGTGAGCCTATATTCTACCTCATGAATATGCATAAGGGCAGTAGTACAGACATGTCATTTTAAAAGTTTTTGCCATAACAGAAGTGTACCATTTTCTTTTAAAAACCTGCGTATATAACAATGTAAATTTTGTCCTTTTTATTGCAATTTCTTCGACCCTCTGGACCATTTTTGCTTCCCTTCGTAGTGATTTAGTTCTGCTCTACTCATTTCGGATTTGTTACTCAAGGAGGACAACATTGAAGGTGTAGTAAGGCAGGCGACGACTAAGTTTTGCAACTGAGAATTCTAGTTAAAGCCTTTCCACAGTTGCAGCCCCTGGAAATTACGAGAGGTTTGTTTTGTACTTTA